AATTTCAAATTGAATTTCTTATCATTCAAATATTGTTCATAATCAACTTTAAAATTAATAAACTTCTCCACGTGGGGAACAGCTGTGTCGTTCGAATTATATAAAATTTGACATGTCATATTGTCGAATATTTTTGTGTTTTTGATGGGAAGTGGATTATAAAAAAACATTGAAAGCACTTCTTTGCACTTTTTGTTAACTTGAGCAAAGGAGATATAATCGTCGATGGAATTAAAGTATTTCACACAGACCATCATATGATATTTATCTAACTTTATGCACATTTTCTGGTTTTCTTTGTTTTATTCACATTTTATACCTATTGGTATGAGGTAAATAAAAAACAAAACTTTAAATTTTGACAAAACTTCGTATTTATATTCTGAGTCATTAATTTTATTATCATTATATTTAAAAACAAAATAAATGGGTTTTGTACGAAATAAACAAGTTTCTTATTTGAAAATATTTAAATATAAATATATGTTAAAACATATAGTCATTTAATTATTTCATAATCAACAATTTATTATTCTAGTTTAATAATTTGTTATACAGTCAAAAGAAAAGGTAAAATACCGAAAAATAAAATTATGCTAATCTATTTATTATTTTATTTTGGTGTTTTTTGTTTTATTATTTAAATTATTAATTATATTTTTGTTTTAAAAATAATTAATAATTGTGAAGATCTTCTTTTTTTACCATCCCATATTTCCTTTTAATGTACAAAAAATATAATTTAAGTTCTGTTGTATTTAATTGATTATTGTTGTGTTAAAACAGGTTTCAATTAATCATTTTTACATCAAAAGAAATCGAAAAGAAAAGACTGCGGCAGTAGGGTCAAAGGATTTACTTATATACTATAATTATAGTGTTAGTGTCATGTATACACTTTAAATAAAAAAGTGATATATCAATTTTATATAAAAATGACAAAGTAAACATTTTATATCACAAAACTCAACATTTTATCAAAATTGGATTAAACCAATTGAAACACAGTCATTCTTGACATCAAAAAACGCCTCTTTTTATTCCTGTTATTACCGAACAATAGATGATATAACGTGGAAGCTCCTTTGTGATACAATTCACTGTTTTCTTTTCTAATATAAAGTACATCAAATGCTTTAAAAAGGTCTTTTGAATTATCATTATTACAAAAGAATGCCTTATTTGTTAAATTGGGCCTAACCCATTTACACTCACTATGTTTATAATCAAATGCAAACAAGAATGCATATGGAGAATTGCAATATTTTTGTAAAGATATCTCGTCATATATGACTGCTCCAAATTTATCGCCGTCATCATATTCTATCAAAAACACAAGATTTTTTCTTCCACAAATGTTCTGACTAAAAACGCTGTTATTAATATCTAAACAGTCGTTATTTGAATCAAATACTTTAGTCTCAAATTTCAATCCAGTCCATTTTTCAATTATTTGCATCTCTTCTTGTGTTATTTCATCGTCTAAAAAGTGTTTATTTATCAATTGATTTTGAAGTTCTTTGATTCTACGAATTTGTCCATTATTTAAAATTGAACCAACTAAATTTTTCTTCTTTTCTAGTGCGATTAATTGGAATACAAGTTCATCATAGTCATCATCTCCTTGTTTTTCCAATCTTGTTTTTCTCGTTTCATAATCGGTTTTAATCGAATTTAAAAGGTTTAAAGCTTTGTCAATTTCATTCACAAGAAGATCTCTTCGAAATAAAAATTCGTCCATTTTGTCTATCTTACCTTCCAAGACTTCGATTCTTTGGTCTATTGTTATTGCTTTCTCTTCATTTGCCATCTTAAAAGATGTTTGTTCATAAATCAGAGTCTTTTTTGTAAATTCCTCTACCTTTTCAAGTTGAGAAACAAGTTGTGTAACTGTTATTTCCATGTTGTATTATTTACAAACTAGATTTCATCTGCGCCTTTTTGTATAGTTTTTTACGTTACTACTCTGGTTGGCAAAATAGAAGTTAAAAACTAAATCTTATTATAAAAATACTATATATTATAGTTATATCTGCAAAATTGCTAAACTATGCAACTGTTGTTTTTACCTCAATTAATATAAATTATTAAATTTACTATATAATTATAGTAATTAGAGATGTATAAAAAAAGTATTATGTTATTCATGGCTATTAACTCACCTTGGCATAAAGTAACTCACTTTAATTATTTAAAATTAAATATTCGTCGTTTTACTATAAAAAAACTATACTCATCAAAAAAAACTATGTTTAGTATATCCATAGTTCAACAACTATATAAAGTTTGTAAAATTTATTTAAAAAATAAACCATAATTAACTATATTTATAATACTCAAAAAATAGAAAATAAAATAAATGGTAAAGAAAAAATTTATTTGGTACAAATAGTATCCAAAACAACAATATTAAAAATTTGACAAAATTTACACATATCAATCAAATTAAATCAT